TCCTGCTGAGTTTAGGATATGAGCACTGATCACTTCCTATCAAAACTGGGGATGGTTTAACCCTAACCGCCTCCTGAAGTGATGATTTTTTTAGAAAATGTTGCACTTGTGACTGAGGAAAATAAGAATGCATAGTCCAGGGCATGCATCTGGAAATGGGACCTTCTCAAGGTATCACAAATCAGACACACAAAATGTGACACGTACACCGCCCCCAAAAATCCTGGCTCATGCACACTGTATTCTCTGCGCTCTTAGGAAGTTAGTCTGAATAACTTATGCCATCTATTGGCCTAGACTAGCGACAGATGCTCTGACAAGAACTTTAATTCTGGGAAAGACTGTGTTTAAAAGGGATTTGTCGATAGATCTGTAAATTCTGCTAATGGAATCGATACACTGCTGCTGCTCAGATCTTGAGGTGCATCTTCCCCAGCAGATACTCTGCTTCAGAGTCCAGAATCACCAGCAGTTGTGCTTTGCACTAGGCAAAAGACAGATAGTATTGACACAGGACTGCCTCAGACTACAAGAAAATCCAGAAAATGAGCAGTGAGGACTTTCATGGTCTTACAGAGCACGTAGAAGTCTTTAATCATAAAACGGGGAAAATCCTTTAAAATTCACCTTGATCTAAAAACAGGGGAACTATCTCCAACTTAGCAAGCCTGCTTTAAATCTGCCACGCAGAGAGAAGAGACTTCTCTCGCATTTCCCTAGCTGCACCGGCTACTGTAGCGATTGGCGGCCGCTTAAACCTAGTTTTACTTTTTACCCAAACGTGTTTTTAAGAGGCACGGCGGAGCTCCGCAGCGCGCAGGGTTTCATTCAGGGCCACGTCTGTTGCTCCGCTCCGCACAGGCCACTGCCAAGAGCGACCCCGGTCGCGGCGGGACCCTCACCGCGACCCTCCGCCCAGCAGCTCCGCCGGCGCGGGAGAGGGGCAGGGAGCGGCAGGGATCCCCACCGCGGGGCTCGGGGCTCCCTCAGGCCCAACGCGACCGCCGCGGTGTGC